TCACTTCTAAAACTTCCATTGTACCATTAATTAAAGCAATCATATTTGCAGTTTTTGTAAAGAGAAGGTTTACTGTGGGTGTTTTCCTACCATCTTGTCTGAAAGCAGATTTGAAGCGATACATTTAGATTTGACACCACGAGCCTCTTCTTACTTTGCCTCTCTTTTGTAATGTAACTTGGAATTGTTTTTAAATATGGAATAAGAATTTTACCAGCGATTCAGTTTTAATAGACAAGAAGGACGTGGTTTTCTGGTGTATAATGATGCACAGTCCAGAATGCCTTAGATGAGGTCACATTGCTTTTGGTAAGAAGTGGCTACTTTCTTTGTTTGCTCTTCCCATATAGGAAGGTTATCTGTTTCCATTGGTAGCCTTTTCAAACAGATTTCTAAAACAAGGCAATTGGCATCCAATTAAAGCCATATTCACAAACAGTATTCTTTTTAACCTGCAGACTGTCAACAGAGGGGTCAATAGCAGGGCATTCTCACTTAGGGTTTGCAACAGCAATGATTGAATGAGCAAAGCAAAGGCTGATGTCAGGGACCAATCATTCTTGCTGGAGATACAACCCATTCAAGACTGACATAGAATGTTACCGAGGGCTTTTTGTTACTTTATTCATGAAGTAATGAAGTAATACACTTTTCAATAGGTGTATGGTTGAGCTTTGAAATGACTTTTAATTCAATCTTCCAACCATATATTCAATCTCACAAGTTCTTGCATTTTATTGGCTGAACATTGTGAAATGTACTGCACTTTCTTTATGTTGTCCTAGCTCAATAAAACCCACCTGAAACACACAAGATTGTATAACTGCAAACCCTGGAGCTTTTTGTTATGCTTTTTTGTCATTATTCCGGCTGGTGTGGCTTTCTCTGAGCTGATGCATAGATAACTGCTGTGAGGGACAGAATTGAGTGCAAATGGAACACAAGCTGATGTTGTTTCTAGTGCCCTGTTGCAAGAGAAAAGCATGATATTCTGTGATGACTGAATTTGTCTCCAAGGCCGATGTTCACAGCTCAGCGGCCAGATTGAGACGGTTCTTGCTAATGGCCTTTGCCTTTATTTCTTGTTTTCAACTGCTGCTGTGCGGCTCCTTTCCGACATTTGTGTCACGTGTATCTGTGCTTGATCACAACAGTAATACCAGCTGGAAAAACTCCAGCATCAGTTCACCGCACAGGGATCAGCCGAGAGGAACAGTGCTGCTTGTAGGGATAAATTGGTCAACAAAATAGAAATCTGTGAATTATTGATGGACTTTTCTAATAGACTCTTTGGCTTCCTAATGGGCATAGGTAAACAGGGAAGTCTTTTGGATAAGTGCTTAGTCTGATGAAGTAATTGATAATGTATAATGGCCAGGGATTTGCTGTACCCTCCCTCCTTGAAGTTCCAAAAGGCTTAATCTTGATTAGGAGTATCGATATGAGGTCACGTTGCACAGCATTTGCTGAACTGAAAGGTGAGACTCCACTGTGCCTCAGGACACTGAACCCATTAAGCTCTCCATCTTTCAAGTTTGCCTGCCTTGTGGTTGTCTGCAGTTCCCCTCTGCAAAACGACAGTCGAGTTTGATGTAGATGTTTCTTTTTTTTTGCAGTCATTCTTTTTTCCAGCCCATGATTACATTTTAAATGGATTTCAACAAGCCTCATCAGAGCAGCTTTGTGTAAAATCTGGGATTTCTGTGCGTTATTCTCAGATTAACCTCTGTGGTAAAACACAGCTGTTTATAGACATTCACATCCTCCCAGTGTTCCTCTGAATTACCTTCCTCTGAAATCGCCTACTCTTGATTTAAAAGAGAGCTTTCTGGGTTTCTGTTCTTACACTCTGCTATATTCTGCCAGCAAAACGACCTTATTTTATAATTATTTGCCGTTGAATGCTAATATTTCTTTAATTGTGTCACTAAGGTCAGGTTTGAATTATCATCTGTTAGTAGGAGGTAAAATATTGATTAAAATCAATTTAATCAACATTGTTGAAAGTTTTATCTGAAGATGTTATTTTAGCTCAATATAGATGCCGGAAGATCTGTGTTGCTGTTGTTAAATTTTTTTGTTTGCAGTTCCCAAGTAATGTCTTCTAACACATACCTGCAATATAAATGTTATGTGTTTTTGAGCATGGCTATAGATTTATGTCTGAGTGTGTCACATAACTAGTTTATGCCTTCCCTTAACATTGTCAAAATCTTGCCTAAGATTTATCTAAAATACTGAAACCTCATCCTACCAGCAACATTCTGAAAACAGGAGGTTTTAATTTTAGCTGGGAAATCGAAAAGAATCAAATAAACATATCAAGGATTTATATCAAGACCTTTTACAGACAATATATCCACAGACAATTCCCAGTGCTGAGCTGTTTTTATCTGTTTTAAATAGATACAGAATTGTATTATGAAGTCAGAATATTTTTTAGGAATAAATTAATAATTAAAAAGCATGAATCTGACAATGCATGCGCCTTTTTGAAAGGCAGATTGCATATTTAAATGTGGTTCTGTGTGTTGTTTGAAGTCTAAAGCTCATTTCTACTTTGACGGCAGAAATAGCATTTCAGAGTCCTTCCTGATCAGTCATGCAACTGAATTTATTAATGTTTCCCAAAAAGATCATCTTTGCTATTAAATCAAATTTAAAGATATTTTTAGTTGTAAATATCATTTATTTGAAATCAAAGACACTTGTCTCAGCTACTGTCTGTGTGATAAGGAAACTGTAAGTTTTCCTGCGATCCAAGTAAGAGAGCACTCACAGCAGCGGGAGCACCACTGCACTGATGAGGAAAAGGCGAGCACTGACAAACAATTATGAGGCTCACAAGGCATTTGACTAGCAGCTGCAGAAAGCCCATCTACAGGATGACAGTCAAATTAAGTGAGGTCAGCGAGAACTACAGGAGTCTTGAGATAGAGGAGAGCAGGTGTACATCAGGGCTTATTAGAATTCACCAGACTTCATCTGTGCACAAGCCACGGAATGTAGATTAGTCACATCTGCTGCCCATTGCCGTTCTGGAGGTGAGCAGCGTAACCCCTCAGTCCATTTGTTTTTCCTTGTATGTCAGTAACCTGCAGTGATTAATGCAGGTTGCACATCTGCCTGGCTGCCCTTATTACCAATGCACATTTAAAATACCACTTAGAAGACTTGCTACTAATTTGCTGCCAAAAAGTGACATAATGCCCAAGATACACCTACTACATTCTATTTAAAAGACTTGTGCTTGTGCTTGTGTTAGAAAAGTAGTCCTTGGTGATCTAGTTAGTATTGTTAGTGATAGTACAAACCTAGCATTTTCTATCAGTGTTGCAATGTTTCTCTAACAAATTAGTGTTGATTTATCCACTTCAAGTGTTTGTGTGTCTGGATAAAATTAAGAGAAGCTAAAAGTCTTTGCTGCGAGAGTACTGATGTTGTACTCTGCTTTGTCTGCATTAGCAGCTTTTTTAATAAAATGAAGTTTAAAAGGTTTCATAAGAGAAGGCTAAACCCAGTCTTCCTCCACAACAGCTTTTATCTACAGCATATACAGCGTACCTTCTGAAAACCCCATTTGTGATACTTGTTTTTTATGAAACAAAAATCCTGTTACTTTGGCAGCTTTGCAATGGCTCTTTGTATACATTAATTAATAAAAAGCTGTATGTATTCTCTCAGTGGCTGTCAAATCCTAATTTGTGCATCAAGGAAAACAATAGAATTTAAAAATTTGCATTGTTTCAGCCACTAAGCACTTACTACAAGTGCTTCATCAGTGCTCTGACCAGTTCAGAAAAATACAATACAGTAACCTTGTGTCATACAAAGGCTGAAAATTTGAGCTGTGTTCATACATACAGTATACATTCACATTTTAGGTTGCGTATTCAACATTTCCTAAGGATTCTTTTCGGTTAATTCCTTTGGAATGTACTATACACCACCCTGAATCCACAATGCCAACACATACAGTACCATGGTAGGTTACATCAATAGTCTTAATGTATTCTGGAGCCTTGGCAGCTATGTTAGTAAATCATAAAGCACAAGTCACACTCAACACCTTTCCCCACCCTTAGGGAACGATAATGAATCAAGCTGACATTTGCAACTCCAAAAAACTGTCAGAATGTAATTATATTGGAACAGTAGCCATCAATTTCAAGGAAAAGTCTGCCTTTAGTTAGTGCCACATCCTTCGGAAATACCAGCACATTCTTTCTGTTGCCCAGTGACTCCAACATACAAGTCATTGCAGTGGCAGCTCTGGAGGAACAGCCAAGCAGAGCATGATGCCTTCTGCACAAGATAAACGGATCGTTTCTTGGAAACAGGTGGACATGATTGTTTCTGAGTGAGGCACAGATCAATGCATTCTTGATCAATGCAGTATTTCTCAGTGACATGGCATAGAGATACTGTAACTTGTCCATTTAGTTTTTTCTTTAAAAGTACTAAGACCTGTTAAAGTTAAAGTGTTCGGGTCTTCAAAATAAAGCGTGTACATTAATAACTTAACTGTCTAAAGTCTAAGAATCTTTGGTATGAGGTTGTTATACAACAACTTCACTGTGTACTCTATCATATTTAAATTACCTCAATAAATGTAAGTTATCAAATGACGTTTGAGAGGGATAACAATGATAAGTCAGTCTCACACAGCTACAGTACCTAGTCGGTGCTGTGGTTTCCTACCACAGTCCATAGACATATTGGTAGGTTAACTGGTGTCTAGGAAGATTGGCCCTGGAGTGAGTGTGTGTTTAAGCCTGTGTGTGCCCTGTGATGGACTAGTGTCCCCTCCAGGATGTACCCTGTCTTATACCTGTTACCTGCTGGAAAAAGCTCTGGCAGTATGTTGTTTAGTCCATCATTTGAAATTTTAAGAAACGTGTCAGAATCGTACTCTTAATACACCCCTGATATTCTCTATTTTGGAAGGCATGTGGAAATTTCCACAAAAATAAATATGTACATTTTTTTCCTTTTTACAGGAGCATGATGCCTAAGGCTCTCGATGGTCAGATTGTGATGGAGAAGACACCCAGATACTTTGTCACTGCTGAGACTCCGGCTCGCATCTATGCCATGTCCAAAGAGATCAAGCTGATTGTGGTGGTCCGCGATCCCATTACGAGGGCTATTTCAGATTATACTCAGATCATATCCAAAACTCCGGACATCCCCAGCTTCGAGACTCTGACCTTCAAGAACAGGACTATGGGGCAGATTGATGCCCTGTGGAGCCCGATTTGGATCGGGATGTATGCTCAGCACCTGGAGAAGTGGCTGGCTTACTTCCCCCCATCTCAGATTCATTTCGTCCACGGAGAGAGGCTGATCAGCGATCCAGCTGGGGAACTGGGCAAAGTTCAGGACTTCCTGGGCCTCCAGAGGATCATCACAGACAAACATTTTTACTTCAACAAGACTAAGGGCTTTCCCTGCCTGAAGAAGCCAGAGGGGAGCAGCAAGCCCCATTGCCTTGGAAAAACCAAAGGCAGGACACATCCAAAAATTGACCCGAAAGTAATCCAGAGACTAAAGGACTTTTATCATCCACATAACCTGAAATTTTACCAAATGGCTGGACAGGACTTTGGCTGGCAGTGAGCCAGTGTGTAAAAGTCTCTACTCTCATCGCTTTCTTTGAAAGAACCACTGAAATGCTTTAAGCATGTTATTCAAAGTGAAGCCAATCCTGCCCGGGAACATGGGCTTGTATTCCAATTGTATCCAATATTGCTTTGCCCAAATGAATCCTCCCACTGCAATGTAAAAAGTGAGACTTTTATGCTTCTGTAAAACAACAAACCAATGATTCTCATTTTTAAACTGTTTTTAAAACTTGTTCATTTTATTTTAATGCCAGCAGCAATTAAAAATCTTTTTTCTTTTTACTGTTACTACTGTATGGCATTAAAATAAAATAAACCAAAGGGGAATCCAATTTCTGTTCTGTTGAAGGCACGGGGGGCATGGCCAAGCAGAGCCAGGCGAGCACTCCAGGAGTGGGTTGTGCTGTGAATTGGGTATCTGAATAGACAAGCTGGTATAAATGGCTTCTGACCCACAGGTGACACTTGCGTGGTTTCTGTTGGTTGATATAGTGTTTGGAAAGAGGTGAGCTGGTCTGTGTGGATCTATGACAGTGAGTCCAGTCAAATAAATGGTGTTTCGCAGGTGAAGCTCGCAGAAGACAGTTCGGTTTATTCTCCAAAAACCAAGCTCTGGTTAACTGTCAAGTTCCATTCAGGAGATTGAATAAGGAAAACAATTAAAGCTGGAGATTAACTTTAAAACAGCTGATTTAGGGAAAATGAGTCATGATTTTGAATTTCTCTTATAAAAGAAAAAGATACAAATCTTACAACAGTAGTATACATTTAACATAATTAGCACAATTGTGACAGAACAAATCAAAATCACCTTCCAAATTTGAGTTGCTCTCACTACTTCTCAGTAATAAAAACCACTGCAATAATGCAATGAAGCTAGAATCTTTGCTACTGCTTTTAAACACATAACCAGACATATTTATGCAAAGGGAACCAATTATTATTATTATTATTATTAATTTCCTTATTTGCTAATCAGCACTGTGTTATCTGTATGCCACCACCACAAAAAGTTATTAAAGGTATAATAAATTAAGATATATTGAATTATAAAATAATAAAAAAGCCAACAAAATACTTAGTCATTTGAATTACTTCATAAATATGTATTTTGGTTCTTTAAAGATGATAAAATTTAGGTCATTAAGCCAGTTCCTACAGTATATATGAACTGACATACAGAAAGCAGAGGGTGATCTACGTCTTGAGAAGCTACTGCTGCCATCACTGACAACAGTAATAATTTGGAATTACATAATTCCAAAGAATGGAATCACAAAGGTGTCTAGTAACTCAGGGTGACACCCACTCATCCATTGACAGAGCCAGGCTTGAACTTGGTAACTCTCTGGTAAAGAACTTGGTAAGTCCTGTTCTTTAAATACTAGACAATACACAAGGAGGCAGGGGCCTACTTTCTGAAACAGATACAAGAAAAAAACCTTGATTTGGCTTTGAGTGCATCCTTTTTCTGGAGCCCAACCCAGCTGGCACAGGGCAAAAGTAGGATGCCAGCCCATCATTATGCACACCCACACATGTATATAGGGGGCAGCATGTGTTTGGGTGGAAAATGGAGTCCCTGGAGCAATCCCATGCAAACACCAAGAGGACATGGTGTGGTTGTGAGTCTGGAACAAGCTCTCCAACCATTAAGTTGACGTCAATGCCCTGCATTCTTACAAGAAACGACTGGACAGGATTCTCAGATCAATTGACCACTAACTACCAAATGGGCTAGTTGGGTCAAATGGCCTCCACTCGTTTGTAACTTTTCTTATGTTCTTACATGTCAACTGTACTTGTAAAAACCAAGGTTTGAACTTGGGTTCTGTAAGACAACAGCACTAGCCATTGCATTACCCACGCTGCCTGCTTTTGAGAGCATTTGTCTCTAAAATGTATGTGTTGGAACTGAAGAAGTTGACATTACATTAGATGAACAAGGAGAATTTGATTAGAATCTGAAACATTTCAATACAGTCTATATCAAGATTTTGAGGGGGAAATTTAAGACCATTTAAATCCATAAGAACACCAATACAGAGACATTAGTCTTAGACTATGATTTAAAAATAACACTGACACAAACTTCCAGATGAAAATGGTGAAGGAATTAGACTAATAGGAAGTTAAAATCCCATCCTTCCACTTCTGAGGTTGGCTAGAAGTCCTAGGTCATTTCTGGCCTGCGTTGTGGGCATTGTGGCTACTCCTCCTGACCTGGAGGCATGGCGTTTAGGACCAGCACACAGGAATCCCCTTTTATACTGTAGGTTATTTACTCCCTTTCTGGTGAGCCTATAATCCCGATCTTGCTTTTGCCTCACCAGATTCTCCTGTAAATCTAATTTTAAAGTAAGAGAGTATGTAACTAACTGTCCTGTGTTTCTCCCTTGTAACCATACCCTTCATGGAAGTCTAATTCTTTCTCCCTTTTATCCATTAACCATAAGGGAAAGCAAACTCTCTTACCTTATAACATACTGGACAGCAATGCTGCTTCTCTCTGAAACTATATGGGAAATTCTGAACTTCTTCCCTGATCTAACTGTAACCCCAAAACTGATTAAATGATTAGACCCTTTCTCCCATGTTCATTCCCTATTTATGGAGAGAAATGATGATCAAACATAGCTGCAGCAGGTCTTACTCTCTCTCCCTCGTGCAAGTGCCTACACCTTTTCTCTCCCTGACTGGTCTCTGACTCGCACACCTGCAGCACAAGCCAACACAGGCAACAGCTGCTCTGTTAGAAGCATTTTAATTAGCTGACAGGGATTCACCAGGTGACCAGGCACAATCTGCCAGATGCCAACAGGACTGGTGGCTGGGAGTTATTTTAACTCATCCTGGGAAAACGGTAGTTTTCTTGCCAGGACACTTAAAGCGGATTGGCTATCATAGTATTGTTATTAAAAAGCAAAGGAATCTTCTCCCTGTTCTACAACCCTGTCATCTACAGGAAGATGACTGTAAGGCCAGAGAGATGTGCTTGTTATGGATCAGAAGGTTCTAAAGACGAGAATAGCCAGTAAGATGTTGTTTTGTAGCTAAAAACGGAAGAGTGGAGATAGACTGTGTTGGCCCATCAGGTCAATTTCAGGATACCTTCATCAAGCCACCACATCTGGGACTTCCAACACTCTTGACCCTCTTGACCACACAGGGGATTGTCAGTAAGAGGTGTATTTACAGATACTGTTGATATGAATGGATCAAATTGCCAGGGTGTAAATAAAATATCAAATAAAACCGAGAAAGAGAAACACCCCCATATGACGCTTGGGGAATGTCAGGGAGAAGTGGGTGAACATGATGTCAGTCAGATAAAGCCAGGCCTGTAATGCTTTAATTGTTAAGGAAGAGAAGAAAAGACCACATTCTTGATCAACACTGATAAAATCTTTAATCTGCAAACCTTTTCCCCTTGCATTTGTTTTTAAATAGTGTTTAGTCAACTTGTAATTGCACTGAAACACAGATCTGGACCATTGAAGAATGCCACATAACATACTGTAATTGCGCCAACTCAGCTGTTCTCAGAATAAGAAATCACCAATTGCATACAGGCAGGAGTTAGAAATATCACTTCACCTGAATAAGGCATCATCACACTATATGTTAATAGGCAAGTTTCATTATGTCAAGCTGTTGAAGCTGCAGACTGAACAAAGGACAAATAAATAAGGCTGAAAACAACAACTTTGCTTCACAGAGATGAATCAGTGTCATTTCTAGGTCAGCCTAATTTTGGATTCCAAGGCCTTTCGTAAATACAGAGATAACAACATGAAGGTGCCTGAGATTCTATGTTGTTTGCTGCAGGTGAGCATTTTAAACTCTTTTTATTCATTTACCACTTGAGAATTCGGCAATTCCATATCACCCTAGGCTACCAGTTAAATCATTTTTTTTATTGTGGAATCATTTTATAAATTTCACTTTTTCTTTAATGAAATGAAGTTAATATAAAAATACATTAGGAGATAGTGCAGAGGAACAATATGGTCTCAAGCTTGAGTTACTGTAAATATTTCTCTTTACAAATACACTTAAAAAGCTGGGAAAGATGATTTATTAAAATAATACTTTGATGACATGACACATGGAACTCCTCCACATTCACCCGTACTCCTAATTTTGGTTGACAAAAACAAATACATTTTCCCATTAGTATTTGCTGCACAGCAAACACATTTCTGTTTCATACAACTCTCCCAAGTAACTGATGTATACACACTCACTGTGAGTGACATGAAAAACATTAGAAATAAAATAATTAAAAGTGACCAACATTCACTGAAAAGGAATCCAAACTCAACCAGTCAACAATGTCAGCATTAATAGTATTTTGACATCAATATTAGAATTTCCAGTATCTGTTTCTCAGTTAACTGAACAAATATACAGTATGATTTTGGACTAGGAAAGTAGCAATACTCTTGTTTTATGCTTCTTCAGTCAATGGCAGGTGTCGGTACAATCATCTGTTGCCTAAAGGTTGAGAGGCTACAAAATGATTTTAAAAAAAAAGATAACAAAATGAGCAAACAAGGCGCTTTCAGCACACAGTGTAGTAGATGTCTGGATCAAGCTTCCTAGCCGTGAAGTTGAAGTCAACATGCTGGGTTCTTTCAACAACAGCTACAGTAGATGAGATTCTCAGATCAATTAACTATTAGCAAACAATTCAGTTAAATGGACTGTGTAGGTCCTTTTGTCTGTTACCCTTTTATACTCATAATACATTGGAAACAACTACTACAGTATATAGTACTTTATATGTGGAGACCGTTTCAAATTTAAAATCAAACACAATTGGATTGTTGATGGAAATTTTTAATTTTAAGACATAATGTAGGATGCACTGCTTCGAATTTGATGTACAGTAAAAAGACATTGAGCAACGGCATTTGAAACAATTACATTCTGGAATGTAAGAGTCAGTAGAAGAGTCCCAATTTCAGTGTAATATACAGTACATACATATGCATGTGACATACTTTTGAAGCATGAATTCCCTCAGAAAGCAGTAGTCCTGACTGTAGCACTAGTGTGAGAAGCCTCTGAAGATCCTAAAATGTCACTTTGCTTTACTGGTAATTGGTGACATCCAAGTAGTACTTAACTTCAGGGGTCAGTGCAACCTGGAATGCACAGACAGGAAGACAAAGGGGAGGAGTCTGAGCATGTCAGCGGCATCCACAGGAAGAGTCATCAGGGAGTATGTTCTCATTAGGACCCTGAAAC